TGCCTGCTCGGCACACGCGCCTAACTAGAGGCTTAATCGAGTGGTCATCAATTTTCTCGAAGAAAGCATTCATTAATGCGCGACATCCACTGGCTGCCAGCAAGGGAACAACATAACTTGGCCAAACGGATTTTGCATTCTCATGTGGTCGGACTGAAGACTGCTTGCCTGATGAAGAGTTTGACTGTTTATAAGATCATTACTCCATCACTCTCTTCTTCACAGCCAGCCCTTGCTCTCAGCTTTGTCATTGACCAAGTTTGGCATCTGCTCTTCAGTTCCTTGAGCAGAGTAGTACTGGAGAAGCTGGAGCAGTCCAACACTTTGAGGGCATCAACGATATTGTGGAATTTACGCCAAACAGCAGCCCTACGTACAATCTCTAGCTGAAGATTGTGGCCCATGTATTGCGAGCACATCTGTGTTTGCATCGTATCCTTTTTCGAGTCCACTTCCTCATTTAGTGTACTGAGTTCCAGCAGCAACTAATTAAACACGTATTTGGCGAGGCAGCTAGCAGTAGAAACTATGTCATCCGCAAAACGCATGTGACTTAGCTTCTCAGAATTGCCATTACAATTCGGCATTCGAAATGTCATTTCGAAGCCTGCCTCGAGATGGTATCTAGAATGGTACAAAGAGATTCGTGTGGGATTTTCTACATGTATGTGTTCAATCGGTTATCCGACGTCACTGAGGAGTGGAACAGTGATTGTTCTTTCCCTGTACTTCTTCAGGCTCTGCTTCTTTTGAATCACATCTGCCTCCCACCAACGGTTGTGATTCTCGAAATCCTTCATCAGCCTCTAGCTAATGCCGGCAGAGATAATACTCCATGTTTCGAGTTTTATCCCTTTTCATCTTTTTTCATTTCTTTAATAGAATTTTTGTAACTACATAGAACCTCGAGTCCGACTGCCACGGGTTTAGTGCATTTAAGAAGCTTATCACTTTCGCATTTGTAGTCTGAGACGATATCAGCCGTCACAGTCGCCCTTCCTAATTTTTCATTGTATATTCTCGCCATCAGTTTCACGAGGCCTATTATACTGGTGCTTTCGAGAAAAGTCCTTTGCTTTTTGGGCTGATTTCTAAGTCTCTTCTGTGAGGAGTTTTTCTCAGTAAAGCAATTCGTCCCGCTTTGTCCTCTTCTCTACCGCACTTTCTAACATTTGTAATCCCAAGTGGAGGGAAGAGGAAGTGGAAGGAGGGATTTCCTGTTGCGTAAGATTTGATTAAATGGCTGAAAAAAGTAAAGCATGTCCCAGGGTTCCTGCAAAGAAAGAAAGGAAGTGCGCTGCATACCGTCCATCATCGAGAACTGCGCTAATTTTTTGGAGGTCGATCGCTGGCGACTTTTTGTTGGCGTTCATTTTCTGAAATTAAATAACTGCTCCCACTTGCTAATTTTTGGAAAGAGTTAACTGAGAAGTTCACAATTTTTCCTCTTCCATAGTGACGGCCCATGCGAGCGGGACACTGTTTTTTGAAATGTGTGACCAAAATTGTACGAGGAGAGCGGTGATTTACAGTTGCATCAAGCACCGAAAATAAAATTTCGCGAACATCAGTTTCATTCTTTTATATTCTGCCGTACATTTTTATTTCCTTTTTCATCATTAGGTAACACATAACAAAAATTTGAAAATGTAGCGAGATGAAAACATGCACAGAACATGAAATTGCTCATCTGCACAAGAGGCTGCAGTACTTAGCAGTAATCAAAAACATTGGACTCCTCTCACAATAAACTACGGGTTGCAGCTGTATTCTACACGACTCCGTTTGCTATCTTTGTGTCACGCAGCATAACTACATTAGCCTTTGATGCGCGGACTAGACTTTACACGAAAAATACCGATCGACAGGAACTTTCAACGGCCCCAGTACGAAAAGCACCGACGAATAAAGAAAAGTCAAGAGAAAAACAATGAGATATTTTTCCAACCCTACTGCTTAAATTGTGAACCCGCCTAAGCAAAACTGTGTATAAATTTGCATTTCTGAACTTCAGAAGTCTGTTTCATGCAACAGATCCTTAGGCAGGCATGATGAATTGCAATTTAGCCATGAAAGTTGCTTATTGCAGTAGAATTGGTATCGGAATTCGGGCACATGCACTGCAAATAATCTTATGTTTTATTGTTGGTCTATTCGGCATCGCTACAGTCAGCAGTCGGACTGTGCTTAAGTAGCTGCGTAATTGAATTCTGATAAGCATACCAACGGTGGGTTTTGAAGTGATCTGTGCTACGCGAATTTGATTAAACAAGTTGAGGCACAGTGTCTCTACAGTCAGGAGCTGATTACATTCTAGCTCTGCATTCAGCCACTGCCCACATACACCATAATGGTTGGTGTGCAGATGGTTCGTAAAAATACAAAAACATCGACCCAGTAATCCGCCATCTTCGCCTTCCTCGAAGATTATAATTCTCGAGATCCTTCATCAGCATTCGTCTAATGTGCTTGCACAGAAGGAAATACTCCACATTTTAGCTTTTGCCCCTTTCATGCTTCTCTCTCATAGCATTTGCGTAGCTGCAACAATCGTAGTAGAATGCCATAATAACTACGTCACTGATGACGGGGAAAATTTGTTTAGTTGCTTCAAATGTGCATATCTTGGGCAATTATTAAAACTCGGTTCGGTCAGTGCCCTAGCATCTCTGCTAACGCTATTTTGCAGCAAAGCTCGCCGATTCCGCTTGACACTTTGCCAGGAGTGCTGGGTAGCGCTACCCAGTGTACGGCAAGCAGAACGCATGGTTGGGAGGTACTGGGCGGAGGAGGGGTTGGCATGGTTGGGGGTGGTAGTGGATGAGTAACCAGATGTAGCGCCAGGGACATGGATAAGGGCAAGGTAGAGGACAGGAACAAGATTTTTTGAACTCGACATTCAGGGCCTGGTCTGGCAATTGGAAATTTTCTACATACCAGGCTCTCTCGTACTCTGTCCCGTTAAGGGTTTACAACACGTCCTCTTCAATTTAGTAATTGCTGAAGTTAAACGTGGGCGTATTCTGATCTTCTTTTTCTTGGACATCACGGGCTTGCGCATTGTTTCCTGTTTCCTGAAACGCTTCCCGCAACACCATATTTGAGAAGCAGTGGTATTTTTGCAGCGTCTACATTATTTGTTCTCTGTGTGCAATGAACAGGATTTGGCAGTCAACAATGAGGAGCTCGTCCGCCTTGCTTCTCCATGGAAGAACCTGTTCGTTGTTCGTCGAATCAACACTGTCCGCTGCACATCTTGCGGCAGAACTTCTTGACATTCATCTGTAGATTCGATACCAGGCTGCAAAATTAGCGAGCGGTATATGTTCCAAATGCGCTGGCCACTTCGTGAGGTGCTGCAACAAGTCGCGTAGGAGGCAGTCCTGATATGTCGGCTCCAGTATACGCAATTCTTCTTGTGATTTGAGAATTCGTACACGCCCGCCAGGTGGAGACGTTTGTATGAAGATTACCTGCTCGGAGCAGTGGGACAATGCATTTGAAGGATGTTGTAATTTGCTTCTTGTGCCGAGAGTGCAGTGGTACAATAGTGAGCTGTGCCGATTGATTGCACTGCTTCACGTGTTCCCACTAATATTTTCAACAGTTCTGACTCCTCTGCCCGACTTGTTCATGTAATTAATTATGTATACAGCACATGCGTATGGATCAAGCACATACTGTAGATACATGTTGGATCTCATCAAAGACAGTATTTTTGTCGCCCTCAATTTTCTGCAATAGAAAGGTATTTTGAAATAGGAACGAGAGCGGAAGAGAAAAAGAAATTATTTTAACAAAATTATTGTAATGGTAAGAAATGTTTCGGTCCATTTAGTCGTATACGTTTCTTACCATTACCACAGTACAAAAATTGTGGTAACTGTAACCAGTGTAAACCAAATTTCAATTAGTTATATAAGTATACTAGTAAAAGTAGGAAGTGTATGTTAGTAAAAGTAGAAAGTATTATTGATTATGAGTAGTAATGTGTAAAGTATCATATGCAAATTTCAATAAATATTGGAGCGAGTCACCTATAATGCTAATTATTGTTAATATTAAATCAAAGTTTAAATTATTATACATGGATGTTAAATGAGTACGCAAACACTTATATATGAATATATTGTACTATAAATATTAAGTGAAAGGAGGTTTATAAGGGTTGGAAAAAGAGTTAAGACGGGGGTTAAAATTAACAGTTAAAATTAGAAGGAATACCAGTAAGGACGAAAAAAGTAATAAGGAGATTGTAAATAAGGGGGATTAGAGTATGGAAATGTGATGCATGCAGGTGGAATGAAGGTACAGTAGGGAAAGTAAAAAGATATCTACGTGTAAGATGAAAAGAGATAAAAGGCAGATAAAAACTGAACTGAAGAAATGGTGTGTGTAAGTAAGAAGTAGATAAATTTTAAATAGGATTAGAAAGAAGATATAACCGAGTGTAAAATGTAGGTTGTGTAATTAATGAAATAGGCGTAAAGAACCAAAGTTTGAAGGAAATTATACAAAGAGAAAATAGGGTAAAGCATATTTGAAGAGTAATTATATAAGACTGCGTTTGATAAAATAACTTATATAAATTGTTGTTATTAGAATAAAAGTATTTAGTGAAATAGAATCTATAACGTGAGAAAAACGAGAAAAAACATACTCTTTAAAAAACTCATTTTCACTTCACTTCCATTGCTTGTCCGTTGCAGCTCGGAAAAATGAAGAATAGCAATCGACCACTTGAATTCTGATCACTTGCAGTAGTTGCAGACCTAAGTTACCCTATTTTTTATTGCGTTTTTGTAAATAATTCGAACAGCGGCATAACTGCTACTTGACGTTGTCGTGTGTCTGTCTATCCTTCCGTTTTGCACTGTCCTACACTCGCAAATCTGTCGTATTCTCGGTACTCTTCGTCTGTATTTTTTCGGATCTCATTGTCTCGACATTTAACCGACGTTGAATCTCGTTATACGTGGCATCTTGTTCCCTCCGAATTCTCATCGCCTCTCTGTTTGTTTCCCTTTCATTACACCTGTAATTAGGACTTCTTCGGCATCGGATTTGCATGGCTTCGGTACTCGCTTGTCGTTCTCGATCTCTCTATTCGGCTTCCATTTGACGCCGAGAATGCACAGCAAGTCTATTAGCCTCCTTTTACCTTTCTCTGTATACGTAGTCTCGTTCTCGTCGACTCCGTTTTGCCGCATTGTCAAATTACCTCTTCCGTATTTGATACTTAGTAGTGGTCTCTCTGCAATTTCCCATGGCATTTCTGCTGGATTACTTTTTCCCTTAGTATGTGCTCAACATCGCTGCGGAGAATTCTCATTCCCTCCTCTGCATGTTGCCTTCTCACGTTTTCCGATTTGGTTCGTTGCGTTGAATTATTCGGTTTGCCGCTGGCAGTCTCGTCCGATGGGTGCGCGTTTGTACCGTTTCGTCTAGCGTTGTTCTAGAACGAAATCTGCAACAATTTGAGACTCCAGTACAAATAAATGAGAAGCAAATGCCATGTATGGATGTTGTGCTTGACTCGTTTTGAGTACTCATCACAACAGTGTTTCAAAAATTGACAACAGCATTTAAAAAATTGATAGGCTACATTGATGGGAGTTATCTGACACTACACTTTAAGTGCTGATGCTTCTGCTCCGGTTGTCATTATCTGCAGCTGTTGCGCCTCCTGTAGTTGCTGCGACCGCGCTGTTTGCTGTGCAACTGTATTCTGTGCACCCTCAGCGCGGGCAGGAGCGTTAGAGCATCGCTGACGTATCAGCGCGTTATTACGGTATCGCCCTCGAGCACGACTTGCTAATCGTTGCTCTCGAAACTGCCTCTGTGTGGCATGTGAGCGTGACTGAACAGAAGGATGTGGCCGCTTGTTTGATATCAAATACGTGCAGTTGGAGACACTCTTCTTCCCGATCCTGATGACACTATTCAAATGAACTATGAGAATCCTGATTCCTCCTAAAGACACTGTTCTTCCTGATATTGTTTCCTGATAACTGTAGCTGAGAACTATTCTTCTCGATCTTCGCTGCCGCCGTTGCGATGACCGGTCGCAAAAGTTATTGAAACTAAATTAAAATTGGGTTTCTTCATTTCCCTCTGAAGGGATTTCAAGACGCTCGTTTCAACACCTCATTTATGCATATTTTCCAGACGTTATGCCTTACCGGAAAATGGAAGTGTAGCTGCCGCAATGCGCATTTTGGAAACGCAAATTGAGCGAAACATGGAAAAATGCAAAATAGGTGAAACGTAGAACGAGAAGGAAGTTTGTAAGGCTGAAACTGTTTCGGAAGACATGGACCAGATTGTGACGGTGACGCCCATGCCTACATGCAAGCGGTGAAGTGTTCCTTTGGAGGAATATGGGTGTCCGCAAATAATTACTTTTTTCTCCTGCGGACACTCATAATTAGGGGATATTACCTATAAATGTAACTTACCATTTCGTCCGAGTAGAGAGATATGAAGATGCCGGCAGTTTCGGAGCCTAAACTTGTTTTACCAGTATGCGAGATATGAATTTGAAATCTATAGCTCACACTTGGACTAATATCTTTGTAAAATTTCAGCTTTCTATCTTTTCTTATTCCCGAGGTCATACTCCAGCCAAAACATTTGCATATTTTTTTCGAGAGGTCTGTAAGCGAGACCCAGGCATATGCGAATGATAATATTGCAGCGAGAGAGTCACAAATGAGGTGGGCAAAGTTTCAGCTTCCGAACTTTTCTGGTTCCTGAGTTAGAATTGAGTGACAAAAGCCCAGACACACAAACAGACACACGCACACAAAGAAAAGCAGCCTCTTGACAGATTTTTGCATCTGCACACGAGCAAAAACGCATAAGAACGGATAAAAAATATGAGGAAGACCGACAACGCAATGGAAGGACTTGCTTGCGCGCCCATGTAAAATTATAGATCAGAGAAGCCTAAGACAGAAAAGAACGGAGAAACTACCAGCTGCAAGAGTGATAAGAAGAAAAAAGACAATCAAACAATTAGTAATCAAAGTAACAAAGTATCAGAGTGTGTTGGCTCATGAAAACTCAGGACTAAATTTTTATTTGTAGTATCTTCTCAGATAAAAAGTGATATCTCGGGACTGATAACAAAGTGGAGGAAGTCAGGATGATGCCACTGTGAAAAGTAATGCACTGAATACTGTTGTTGCAGCATGCAAGCACAATTCCCTTAAATGAGCTAAAATAAACGGTTTTCTCTGAAACATCCAGCCTGGAGCCACTGAAACCCGACAATTTTTGCAAAATTTTGTTTTGGGAATTGAAATTCATTTCATGCCGAGATACAGAAGATGAAAATTTTTATGAACGAGTCCCCGTTTTGGGAAAACCTTCATAACAAAGCCCTTATAATTATTAGCGGCGTACTGGGTAGAATAAGGCGCAGAATAATTAGAAGGGGAGGGG